CAAAAGCTAAAACTGAAAGCCGTTAGTTGCGAAAACAATTTGAACTCAATGAACTCACCTCCTTCACTGGCGTCCTGTGTCAGATGAGACTCAGTCGTCACCGCAGTCCTTGATCGCACGCGCTCTAGACCAACCGAATCACCGGTGTAGTCAGGGCATCGAGACAGTCCAACGAACCAATCCCGATTAGTGCGTAGCCCCATGCCGAGCCGCTTCATACTGACCATCTTCCGTCCGAAGAGGTTCATGGCGGAAGTCTGCTGCTCGGGGGTGACGGAGTCATCGAAGCTGTTGTCGTTGAACATGAGCGAAGTGTTGTCCATGTCGTCGTCCGCGGGCTCATCGATCTCCGACGCCGGCTCTTCAAACTCCATCGTAGGCTTCTCGACCTCCTCATATAACTCTTCCTCATCAACCTCCGCCTCCGTAGTGGTCTCGGCAGCGAGTACCGTAATCTTACGCCGAATAACCACACTCGTCATCCTCGCCCAAAGCCTCGACTGCCTCCGTACACTAGCCTCTTTCACCGCCGTTATCGTAGGCCTTGGGATACGCGTCTTACCAATCTTGTTATCCGCACTCTGCTTATAGTCAGCTCGAGCTCTAGCAAGTATCTTGGGTACCCTTGGCGCCGAAGCGGTAGTACTTGTCCTTGACGCCAACACACGAGGTGTTGGCTTAGTTTGCTTCGCCGCCACCGGAGTAGCAGCTAGCCTTGTCTTTGAAGAAGTTGGTCGATGGAGCCGCTGGTACAGCGGCCTGACCGGGTTGGCAGTGACATTAGTGTTGACTGCGGTGTGGCGTATGTCGGGGACGCGGCGGGCAGGAGAGAGCGCATTCACGACTTTCTGAGTAGTGGCAATTTGCATTGTGACTAGTCTGTGATGATGTGAGTGTCTGAATATGAGAGAAGGGACAAAAGGTAGGGGGTTTACTCGAATGTGTGGATGTGGTGAGGAGGCAGAAGTCGGGTGGGATCAAAATATTACATGTGTGGGTTGCGGGCGCCGACCCGCGACTTTGCTATGGCAACGAAAAAATTCTCTCTATCTCGACAGAGATGGGATGAAATTAGTGTTGGAAGTATACGCCATCATCTGCATCTCGTTTTGCGACGACATGGTCGACATGCGCTGCGTTCTCAAAGTCGCGTCTACGATTCAGACGCGCTAGAGCATCAGATCGCAACACCTGATGCGCTGGAATCTTATCAACACTCACCTATTGGCTCAAAGACGTCGATTCGTGAACATACTCGTCCAACGTAGACTTGCCAGGGCAAAGCGATAGTCAACATGTTCGACGCTCAAGCTTAAGATACATTGATGATGCTAACGAATATCATGTAGATTTACTCAGATTGATTGCTCTCATTCATCACGCATTACAGCTAATTAGCAGTAAGAACAACCTTTCCGCCACTCAAACCCTCCGCCTTTGCCTCAACAACAATCTCTCCACTAGCGCCGGCCACACTCCTCACAATAGCCAGCGCCATTCCACCAAATGCCTTCCTCTTCGACTCCGGGAACGGGCTCATATCTGTCGGATCACCATTATCCGTAGCAACGATAACACCCGGACCAGACGAAACCTCAAAGCTGATCTCATCATCCGCCATCGGAACCAAGATACCATTCTCGTCATGCACGGAAACAGTGATGAAGGAGAGGTCATAGCCGTCACCAGCGATCATTGTGCGGTCAGCAGTCACGTTCAGCGACGCTGCTGAACCAGCTGTGAACTGAGATGCCGTGGCCCATTCTTCGCCGTCCTTGTACGCGACGACGCTGATGTTGCCGGGACGGTACTTCACACCATCCCAGCGGAGTCTGTAGTCGTACTTTCCCCTTGACTGACGGCCTGCGGAGATACCATTGACGAAGAGTTCTGCTTCGTCACCAGAAGTGTGAACATGTACGGGTGTGATCTCGCCGATGCGATCTTCGGGCCACGTCCAATGGGGAAGGATGTGGGCCATAGGTAAATCTGGTCTCCAGCGTGCTTGGTAGAGGTAAAAGCGATCTTTCTTGAAACCAGCCAGGTCGATGATACCGAAGTAGGAACTGCGACTTGAGTTGTCGTATGGGGTGGGTTCACCGATGTAGTCAAATCCAGTCCAGACGAATTCACCAGCGACGTATGGATGCCTGTCTTGCTGTTCGAACACTTTATCGGGTGAAGCGGCCCATTCAGGTGCGTACAGATCGTATGAAGACACAATGTTATTCTCCGGGTCTCCGCCTTCCCCAGGTCCGCCGCCTACGATGGCACTCTTGTTTGCGGTGATGGGGAAGAGGTATTTGCCGCGAGTGCTGAGTGCTGATGCAGATTCGGTGCTCCAGGTCATCTTCTCGGGGAATTCTTGTTTGAAACTGGGGAAGGTGCTCACCCAGGAGTCTCCTTTGCCTTCACCTTGGTAGTTCAAACCAATGATGTCGATAACGGCTGCTATCCCAGTAGTGGCGTTAGCGTTGTTCATACCGATGGTCACTTGGCGGGTTGGGTCTTCTTCGTGAGCTATGTCTTGGAGTGTTCTGCAAGTCTCAGTACCAGTAGAGTTCCTTTGTTCAGGAAGCTCGTTGCCAACACTCCATGAGATGATAGAGGGGTGGTTGCGATCACGGCGAATGAACGATCGGAGGTCAGGTTCGTGCCATTCTTGGAAGATGCGATGGAAGTCGTTCTCCACTTTGGGAAAGTTCCAGGTATCGAAGATCTCATCCATGACCATGAGACCGTATCGATCGGCGAGATCAAGGAACTCGGGGGCAGGCGGGTTGTGAGACGTGCGAAGAGCGTTATTGCCCATCTCTTGTAGGATTTCGATTTGCCGTTCCGCAGCCCTGGTGTTGAAAGCTGCTCCGAGAGCGCCCAGGTCATGGTGGTTGCAAGATCCCTGAACGTAGATACGCTCACCGTTGATAAGGATACCTTGGTTTGGGTCGTACGTGACCGAGCGAATACCAAATACAGTTTCATAGGTGTCCATAGCCTCTCCGCCGACTGAGACTGTAGAGATAGCGACGTACTCATTGGGCTTTTGGCTAGGTGGTGGTCCCCAAAGCTTTGGGTTCGGAACTGTGACTGAGCCGTGTACTGCTTGCTTAGAATGGCCTGCAACGTCCGCGTTCGCTGCAGCAAATTTTGCGACAGCTTCACCAGTAGCTTGTTTCGTTGTTGCGTCGCGCTCGAAGACTTCGGTGACAACTTCAACATGTTGAGTGCTGTTACCTTTGTTCTCCAGATCTAGGGCCATCTCGACAGTGGCCTCCGCCTCCGAGATGCTAGGAGTAGTGACGTAGGTTCCCCAATGTCCAACATGCACTGGGTTGACAGTGACAAGCCAAACATTTCGATAAATTCCAGCGCCCGGGTACCATCGTGACGAGTCTAGCTTGTTGTCGAGACGAATAGCAAGTGTGTTCTCGCCAGCTTTGGCGTAAGGAGTAAGATCCAGACGGAAAGAGTTGTAGCCGTATGGCCATCCACCAACGAGGTGGCCGTTCAGCCATACCGCAGCATACGACATAGCTCCATCGACATCCAGAAAGACGGATTTGCCAGAGTGGAGGACTTCCGCATCCATGGAGAGCGTGCGGCGGTACCATCCAATTCCGTTGATCGGTAAGCGACCCAAGCCTCCCTCAACGCCTGGGGCGTCGAAAGTACCGGAGATAGCCCAGTCATGCGGGAGAGAGACAGCCTCCCACGCGGCATCGTCGAAGCTAGATTGAACATAGCTGATGTTGGCGCCGGGAGCGGCACCAGAAGGTCTCTCGTACTTTTCTCCGGTGATGAAGTCGTTCGCGCAAGGTAGCATCCACGGCTTCAAGCCCTCATAGCTTAGACCATCTGGATCTGAGGTGAATCGCTCGAATCGCCAGTCTGCGTTTAGCGAAGTGCGTTGACGGCCTGATGTTGTAGATCGTGGCTTGGACACCACATGAGCGGCTGTACCGTCGAAGCAGAGCGAGAACAAGAAGCCTAGGAGTACGATGCTGTACGAGTTGTACAGTGCTCGCAAGGAACCCGTCATCCTGATGGGTGGTGATATGTTGGGAAATATACCAACTTCAGAACTAGCTCATCTGATGGTGGATGGCTCCGATGCTGTCACTAAGGATGAGCGATAAGTGTGAACGACGAAGACGGTAGATAGACAGCTACTTTGTACCTGAGCAGAACCATACGATGTGATAGAGCACACTACGGGTCATTTCCCTCCGTCCCATGCACACACTCCGTCATAAACGGAAGAAACACAATGGTCGGCCCGTCTGGGCAGTACATAAACCGCTGCCCGTAGAACGTTTTTCGCAGGACATTAGCCTACAGAGGTACTTCCCCGCCATGCAGCGTGCGGGGTGGCTGTCTCGGCGATACTTGGCCGTCGGCTTAAACTGTCTTTGCACAGAACGGATCCACTTGCCATGGTGAAGCTTCCGGATAAGTTGTGGAGGACGAAGATCACGGAGGTTCAGTGGTGAGCTTCGGTGGTAGTGACGTCGCGAGCTAAGCCAGATAGGGGTGTCGGTCCGCTTGCTATCTCCGCACGGTCCCGCGAGCGGGGTCAGCCAACAGCTTCACGCTGGGGGGTCGTGGGAGCAATGAAATGAGTTAAAGTCTAAGGTATATAGCCATGATTTTTGAATCAGTTGATGACTATGCAAAAGATAAAGAGACAAGTGAGACGCCGACCGAGTACCCGAATCGTAAAGAGAAAAGGAGAGGCTCATCGCATCGTTGGACAGGACCGAAAGGAAATTGTGAACAGCGCTGAGAAAGAGAATATCAACGGCGCATCTCCGAAACGCCCCCGTTAGGAGACTTTGACTCCTCAATCCGGTCCTTATAGTCGTCATGGCCGGTGTAAGGCTCAGCAACCATGGGTGCAGAAGGACCACCAACAGCAGCATATCTCTTTCGTTGACGGAAGAAGCTGTGTCGCAATAAGTCAGTATTCGGGACGGTGTAAGAGCTTTCGTGGAAGGTCAGACTTACATAATAGCTCCGATGATAGCAATCAGGATAGGCAGAACCAGGCCAACGCAAACACCAATGATGACTTTGTTGCTGACACCTCCGGTCGAGCCATTAACAAGATCGTGTACATGGTCGCTTCCATCTTTGCCGTCTTCATCGGGCGGAGCGACGTACGGAGTTGGTTTACCGGATACAGCTCGCATAGTCTTTGCCTGCGTGCCGAATGCAACGGTCTCTTTGACGGTATCAGATGCTTCGACTGGCCATGTCGCTTCAACTCCTGGTGCTACTGACGTTGTGATGGTGGACATGAACGTTTTGCTCGTAGTGACTTGCTGCGAGTTGGGGCAGTTGGCAGGCCCTTGAATTTTGCAGCTGACACCGCTTCTGGTGATTTCGGTGCTTATCACGGTTGGGGTGAGATCTTCACGTCTTTCTGAACCAGGTGTGATGGTCGGTGCTGGAGTTGGCTTGCCTTGCATTCCGCATACTTCCGCCAACGTGGTCGTAAAGATGGCGGTAGATGCTTCAGCCACCGGTCCCCATGTCTTGGTCTCGTTGAACCATTCGACAGCGACTGATGCGCCAGCGATCGCGCCTACGGCGAAGTTATATTCTTGAATGACTTTCAACTTGCAGTCTTCTTCGTCTGCACCGTACGTAACATTGGTGTTGAACTCGGCTATGTTTGCGTAGATGGCGACTTCGATACCAGCTTCGACTTTCGGACTCAACTTATCAAGCATACCCAAACCTGGTGGTGGCTCTGGCATCACAACCTCGAGCCCACAGTGAGCACCGATACGGAGGGCTGCCTGCATAGTAATGCTTGCGCTTTCGAGAGTGACAGGCAGGAATTCGAACTGTCCTCCATTGCTGCACAGGGTCAGTCATGTGGACACTCGTCGAATGTGTAGTCAGAGAAGAGACTTACACTGTCATATCGGCAACCTCATTTCCAAACAAGGGTAGATCTATCGCGACACCGTCGTCCAGCTTGACATGGAAGCCACTGCTAATGTCGATGGCCCCTTCCACAGCCAAGATCAGATCGATACTAAGCACCGCACCAAGCATTAGGTTCGGCCCTATCTTCATACCGACAGGAGTTTGTGTAGCAAAAAGAGTGATTTCATATGTCGCTTCGGCATTGAGAACGGTTCCAATTTCTAGGTAAAGCTCCATACCATCGAATTGTAAGTGTAGGTTGGCTGCGTCGATGGTCGGAACGTTCAGGTCGAATGCAAGATCGAAGGTTGGCCACTCAAAGTCTGACCTGTCAATGCCGTCGCTGAGAGTCAAGTTGTCCATGACGTGTTCTACCGCATCGCCTAGTTTCTCTTCGAATCTGTCAGTGAAGTTTTGCACTGCTGTGCTGACTGAGTTGATGGTGTTGTTAAGGAGCTCGCCAGCGTCGAACTCGCCGTCGATAGTGAGCTCAGCAGAGGCAACTCCCTTGACGTAGCATTTCCGGCAGGTGACTTCTATACCAGCTTCGACTGTCGTGGTCCCATTCTCGCGCTCCTGTAGCGGATTTGGTTCGAGTGCCCTGTACGAATAATTAACGCCCGCCGACGTAACGAATACTATAGATGTGTACTCACACGGATAGCAAAGTAGCACCACTCCAGCTTCTCGCTATGTTCATGGGTTCAGCCTTGAAGGAATCTCGCTTCTCTAGACTGGCTAGAGCTAGGCCGCGCTTTATGGCATGGTATGTATCCTCGACAGAGTGGCCTGGAGCATTGCGGACCTGTACGGAGGAGTCGAGTGGAGTGACCGCGGCATGAGCCCAAGTGAAGGCAAGGGACAAGAGAAGATTGCGAAGTGGCGCCATTGTGTCCGCAGAAATAGATGCAAAATCGAAGCGAACTTTGCGTCTGAAATGACCCAAGAAGAATAGCAAAAGCCAGAGACTTGTTACATCATGAAAGAAACGATACCTACTCACTTATACACCACCACTCCTCATCCCACCACAGTACTTCCGGGTATGTACCGTCAAACGGCACGAGGCTTTGCGGCGTAGCACAACCGGGGGCCGAATATGCGGGATGCGACCGAAAATGCTTCAGTACACTGCTTCGCCACCAGCACCATTCCAGAAGCGGCGATGCTGTAAGGAATAGCATCCTTCGGACTTACATCGACTAGGCTCTGGTACATCTGCGACGGTAATCGTGACCTACTTTGTACTTTGTGTGTGTCTCCCGGTAATAAGACATGCAGGCTACGATACATTCCCCGGTAGATTGGGGGAGGACTGTGAGTGGTAAGGATGGTAAGCAGGTTGTTATTGGAGTACTGAGGGGAGTAGAGAGAAGGCAGATCCAAAGCCAAGGATCGAGTACGAGAATTGTATGCATCTCGCAGTTGTTGTGAGACTGTGGATATACTCAGACTGCACTCCCAACCTCAGCCTTGCGGCCCTGGCCTCGCAGATACGATACGGGAGTGCCAGTGTGCGGAAATGTCTCGGCCCCATCATGATGGCTCCTATGAAGAGACCGAACCCGTGGGGAGATAAGCAAGGCTGGCGCAGATAGTATCCGCATACTATTTATGGGCATACACATCCACGGACTCGAAATATCTAAGCCTTCCAAAAGATATAGGCTGAGCGACTTACCATACCTACCCCGCAGCGAGTAGCTGAAAGGCGTCGCTGTAATGGTTGCTGTTCCCCTGGCAAGCGATGCTGCGTTTTGCGGCGCAGTAAATGCATGGCACATATTTTCAGAACACTGCAGCGAGTGAATGACCCCGCAGTATTTCGAGTTGAAAGCCATGCAGAATCGCAGCCTTTACTGGGTTGTCGTGTGTGCATCTCTCATGCTCGAAGACTGCGGCGTGCAGGGACGCGCGAATCGGAGGCGGAAGCTGGATTTAGCCGTATCTTCCAGAATGTTGATCTCCAGGTGCTTTGTCGTTGGATGTAGTGCTACATGACAGTACCTAGGTACGCTGTTCTCCGATGGCGATGGGCAGGTACTGCGCAAGGGGTGCGGAAGTACTTTGCTGCTGCTGCATTTAGGCACATGCATTGATGCACTGGATAGTGGGAGGTCATCGATGTGGCCCATGGGCTTGCGAGGCCATGATGACGGGCAAGACGAAGGAAGATGACAGCAGAAAGTATTCAGACGTTTGGGAGTTGCAGAACAGGCGGAGCGCAGCTTCCCCAGACCCGCGTGGGCACGCGTGAGCCCGCCTATTGACGCTAGCCCCATTGCTTCAGGGTCCCTTGGCGCCCGAACGTCACCCATGGCAAGTCGCGTATGAAGGTTGCCAGACGGTCCCGGAACCGCCTCAAAGACACACTCAGCACCCAGCAAGCCCGAGAAGGAAGCATTACACACCCCGTATTGACGCGACCGCACATACTTCGACAACAGCCTTCTCAACCCCAAAAGACACCTGGAACGAAGACCGGGCGCCCCCGATAAACCGCAACAATGTCGCAAGCCTACGAGCGCGAACAACAAAACAATTCCCGCCTCGATGAACTAGCCTCCAAAGTATCTGCGCTGCGGGGCGTAACGATAGACATCTACGATAATGCGCGCGATCAACATGTCATCGACAGCACAGTACGTTACCTGCGCATCTCCTGTGCATTCACCCAACTTCTTCCCTCACATCACTTCTATTCCCCCAGAAACCTATATTCCCATGAACAATCCAACAAGGAGCACGCGCTCCACGGAACTCCACCCCCACATGTCCCTGCTATACCCCCTCATCCTTCCTAGTAATGGTCCAACCACCCGCCTCTATCTCAACTTTCAACACCCACTACACGCCCGCTAACATCTCATTCTATAGAGCGACACCTTCTCCTCCTTCGGCACATCACTCAAAGGCTCCGCCACACGCCTCACACGCATGGCTTCATCGGGGAACAAAGTCGCGATTCTGAAGTTGGCGGGGATAATAATAGGGACGGTGGTGGTGTTGTATTGGATTTGGCATTTGATTTTCTGAGAAAATCTGGATTGCATGAAGATGAGAGTTTATACAGGAACATGTTACAGGATGGTCGCGGTGCGACGTCGCGGGAGAAGGCTGGAGAGAGGGCATGAGGTTGGGAGCGCAGGCGATCACGATGGGGATACTGATAAGAGTCCTGGGATAGAGTCACAGGAATGATTTGTTACGGGAGGAAACGGCAGGGGCCGTATGCATATCTGGCGTTTTGGGGGCATGTCTATTGCGGTTTCGATTCAGCGGTCTATAAACATCATAGTATGTACATTACGCTCCATCCAAAGCCGCATCTTGTTTCACGCTCTGAAGGATACGAATTAAAATACGTGTAGCGTGCAAGGACGGATCCAACACACCACTTCTATTCCCAAACATTCGAGAAGAGATCATCGCTTCCGCCACCGAACCCTCCTGCAGGCTTACTTTGAGTAGTTGTGGTGTGGGTTGTGGTAGTCGTCTGGGTAGTGGTGGTAGGTGCGGCACTGCTCCAGCCACCGAAATCGTCGTCTTGGGTTACCTGTGGTGCACCCCAGCCGGGGGTTGTAGGCTGAGCGTGTGATGTTGTGGATGGAGCTGCGGGCTGGCTTGGGGCAGAAGAACCCCAGACGTCGTTGCTACCCCACGCGTCCATGTTCGAGAATCCTGAGTAGTTTACGGTCGCAGGAGCGGGCGCAGCTTTAGGAGCGGGTGCTGGTGCTGGTGAAGACAGGTTGAATGCTGAGCTCGCTTGTGGCGATGCGAGCGGTGGGGAAGTGACCCTTGGTGCAGGCGCCGGTGCAGACGGCATAGACAGGTCCAAAAGGTCGTTCATACCGCTTGTTGCAGGAGCTGCAGGCTTGGATGGGGCGGGAGAAGAGAATGCGCTGAAGTCAGCCATACCGCCCGACGGACTCATTGTGCGGCTCTGCGATTGGGTCTGGGGAGCAGGCTTGGAATCAAAGAAGTTGCCGCCACCACCAAACATGTTGGAGGAAGAGGTTGAAGGCGGTGACTTTGCGCTGGAGAAGCTGTCGAGGCCAGAGAAAGGTGAGGGTTTAGCTGCCGGAGCGGGGTTGAAAGACAGACTGCTAAAGGCATCGTTCATGCCACCAAAGGCCGACTGTTGGGGCGATTGCTGTCCTTGGGGTGATGCCAGTCCACCAAATGAGTCTTGACGTGCATGCTGCTGGGGTTGGGGTGGTGCGGCAGGCTTGGAAGCGTATAGCGATAAGATGGACTGCTTGAGATCTGGTCTCGACGGCGCCGCTGCAGCAGGACCTGTGCTAGATGGACGAGATGGTGCCGCAGAAGACGACCCACCGAGGAAGTCCAATCCCAACAATGAATCGCCTGCCTTGTTCTGTTTCGGTGGGGCTGCCTCTGCCTTGGGAGGCCCTCTGGCTGCAATCGGGGGTCCGGTGCTCGGTCGCTGAGGAACGGGATCGTCGCCGAATAGATCGATAGTTGGCGGCGGCTGTGCTTGTCGCGGGGGAGGAGGAGGCTGGCTGGAGCTCTGAGCTAGGCGTTGCGATGCGGAGCGTTCTATTTGGACCTTCTCCTGAACCTTCTTCAATGGCTATACTTTGTTAGTTGGCATCCCATGCAGCTATCCTGGTCCACTTACAATATCGTCATCGTCCGCCTCCAAAGTCGAGGGATCGGGCATAGGCCCTTCCATGACCCATCGCTTCGACTCGTACTTTGTGCGAATAAAGTTCTCAATCTTTGCCTCGGATGGCACATGGCCAGGCGCCAGCTTCGACTCCCAGTACTTGTTGGCTCGCGCATTGCCCCATTTCAGCACGCTCTGGAGTTGCTCGTCGGTCCAGGTATCGAGGTCGACTGACTTGACTTTGCTGATATGTGTTCCCATGCCGCGGTGGATGCCCGAGCACCGAATGCAGATGAAGACGCCCAAGTTCCAGCTGGCCCATCGTGGGTCTGCAGTAGCTGTCAGTAAAGGCGCATTATACTTAGATCCTGCATAACTCACGCTTGTTCCTCTTGCAGTCGGAGCATGTCTTGTTGCCCTCGAGCTTCACCAAGTTCTTGAGCGTGGCGCGATTCTGTTCCGCCCGATCAGCGGCAGGGTTGGGCCGTCGCGACATTGTGGGGTAGGATGCCGTGTGCGGAGTTCGTGTTGGGGGTGCCGAGTCGTATTTCAACGCGTGTGTCTAAGAGAGAGCAGTAATAACTCGCGAGGGCACGTGTCAGTCGAGGTGGAAGTGGGTGAGTGGGGTTAGGTTGTCTCATTCGTGCCTGAAGCGTTTGGTTTCTCACCAATGACGCTCGCCTTGGCACTCGATACCGCCATCTCACATGTCAGGGGTTTGGTTTGGGCTGCAAGTCGTTCGAAGTGTTGGAAAAGCAAGATAGATAATTGTCTCTATGTGATGTCGTATTTGTATGACAAGGACAACCCTGCTTGGACTGAACGCATCGCTGCTTGGGAACGCCTCCCCGGGTATCACAATGGTGTAATGCTACAATATAGTACATGCGCTTACCACCAGAAAGCCTGTTATATGCAATGCAGTTATAGAAATCAAGCGGGACGGAACCTCCAGTCGTCCCAGTCTTCGTCGTCGGACTCGCTCTCGCCATCTTCTTCGACGGCTTGAGGCGCTGGCGCAACGCTCTCTGCCTCGACTGGTGCTCCAGACTTGGATCGCAATGCTTCCCTCTGTTCCCGTAGCCGCTTCACCCTCTCTTCAAGGCCTTCCATCTCCTCGAATTCGTCTTCGAGCGCCCGCGCAGCATCCTCTTTCTCGCCCTCCATCTCCTCGTCCCTCCTTGCGCGTTGTGCACTCTGGTCTTCTCGTGCTTGTGCGGCAATCTGGGCGGCTGTCATGGGCGCGGCCTCGATGACAGCGCCCGCGTAGGCGGATCTCGTGGGCGGTGGTGGCATGGGCTTCTCGGCGTTCATCTCGTTCAGGAAGGCATCGAGCTCTGCTTGGGCTGTGGGATCGAGTTGGGGCTCAGGCGCCTTGGGTGCCTCTGGAGGCTGGGTATCTGGTGTTGGCGCGCTTTTCTGGTCTGCTGCCGGCGCGGCTTCCTCTCCATCCTTTGCAGCTCCAGCATCGAAGAAGCCCGCTGGTACACCAGCCTCTTCCTCGGTTCGCGTGCGTTTTCTCTCCTCGACGGTCTCGTCTGTAGCCTTGCGCTTTTTCGACGCGGGTGCGGTCGCAGGAGCTGCCGATTGCTTTTGGGGCTTTTGCGCCTGCTGCCGTGCTGCGCGCTGTTGTCGCAAAAGAGCTCGTGCGTCGGCCATGATGATGCAGGTGGTTCTTGCTCTCTTGAAAATATGGGTCGTCGTGTATGTGCCTATAGTCTGCGATTCCGCCAGTGTTCTTGTTCTTGTTGAGACTGGCTGGCGCTGCTCCCAGTAGCTCTGACGCCAGCCGCGCAAAGGGTCCACAGCTCGCTAGTGGCCAGGATTACGGCAGCCAAGGCGTCGGCAAAACGCTGTGTCAAAGCTCCACCTCCTCACTGACACCACTCAGTCCGACACCACACGACACATTGCGACTCCCACTGGCAACCCGCACCCGCCCACTGCTGTCTTCTAGTGCGCTCACGACCCAGCGCATGCATTGAGCTTCCATCCCTCGCGGCTGACATCTCTTTTGCGCCCACACACCGCGCGGCACCGGCTCCGCATTCGGCAGGTACGCGCAAGAGGCAGTTGCGACTCATAACCGGCAGTCGCACAACGCATCGCGCCTTCTGTCTGTGCAGTTGGGCAAGAGCGCTCGCTCGCGCTCGTTTACTAGTTAGAGGCGGCTCCATACTTGGTGTCTGTCTGTCCGCAGTGCGACGCGCGTAAGGCAGGATTGGGGCTTCCGTAGAGACTTTTTGAATCTTGTTCCGCAATAGCATAAGCTGCACTCGTGGTATCGTCTATATTGAGCCCATCACCCGTGTCCGATACCATGGCCGGTAAGCAGACACCATCTACGCGCATCCGTCGCATCAAGCTACTGAGTCGCGCCCCTCATGGCACCGGCACCACCACGCGCACGCCCATCCCCAACCCTCACACTGATGCTGATATTGCCACTGCAGACGAGATCCGCCGCTCCGGCCGCGCCAACAAAGGCCACCACACCAAGAACGCAGATTCCCTCGACGAGCCCTCCCCCGCTCCCAAGGCCAAGGCGCCACCAGTTCCGGAGAAGAAGGGACAGGCGCAAAGCAAGAAGGGACAAGCAAAGGCCCAGTCACAGCGCGCGCAGTCGACGCAGTCCTCCCAGCAAGATGAGGAAGAGGAGGACGCCATCATCCGCTGTGTCTGCGGCGACCAGCGCGACATCCGCGGACGCCAGATGATCTGCTGCGACAGCTGCGAAGCCTGGCAACACAACAAGTGCCTGGGCCTCCCCGAGGGCGACTTCTGGGAGGGCAAGAACTACTACTGCGAGCAATGCAAGCCCGAAGACCACACCGAGCTGCTCGCTGCCATGGCGCGCGGAGAGAGACCGTGGGCGCGCAAGAAGGGCTCCAAGCCCAAACCCCGCCCCAGCGACGTCAAGCAGGAGGCCGTCTCCGAGAAGGCCAGCACGCCTCAGCAGTCGGCCACGCCCTCACAAACCGCCCAGGCCCCGGCTGAGGCTCCCACGCCCACGCCTGCCCCCGTCACTGTGCCCACACCAGAGGCCTCCAACGGACATGCAGAGTCAAAGGTATGTCATTGTACACTGAACAAACTGTCGCACGCTCACACCTGTAAACAGGAGACGAGTCAGCCACAATCGCCACTTGGTGAGAAGCGTCGCCATGAGCCTGCCACTGAAAAGGCCAACGCGAGCAAGAAGCGCAGAAAGTCCAGCCACCACGAGAGCAAGCCTACCCCCCAGTCAGCTCCAGTCGGCGATATCGATTCGCTCCCGCAAAACCAAAAGGCCGTGGCAGAGAAGCTTCGGGACACACTCGCACCACTGATCAGCACCGCCTCGGAGACCAGGGGTTTCCGCATACCGGATGGGCAGACTGCCAAATCTCTGGCCACCAAGTACACTCTCGAAATGAGCCATGCCGCTTTCAATCTCTACGGAGAACCTACTGGATCATCTTCGCCATACTTCACCAAGATTCGTACCATCATGTTCAATGTCAA